AACTCACCAAATAAGTGTAAAACAGAGGAGAAAAACCACAGGATCATCTCAATTGATGCTGAAAAAATTAAACACATATTTATGATTTTAAAAACCTCTCAAAAAAAACAATATGCCTGAGAGACCAACATATATAAAAAACCTAAGCCAACATCATATTTAATGACTCATAAACCTGTGCCCCTAGGATCATAAAGATGACAGATGCATGTCCTCACTACTTCTATTCAACACTGTACTGGAAATCATGACAAAGGTACCAAGAAAAAGAATCAAAAGGCATACATACTGATAAAGAAGTAAAAATCTTTTTATTTACAGATACAATAACCATGGAAATTCAAAGAATATATCAAAAAGCTACTAAAACTAACAAACAGGAAGATCAAATGATACATGATCAATATATTTAAAAATCAATTATATATAGCAAAGATTAAAACTTTAAATTAAAAAACCTATTTATAATAGCCTCAAAAACACAAAATACTTAGGTTCAACAAAAATTCGCAAGACACAGAAAACTATAAAATAGCAGTGTCCCGTTTTCATTGCTGATACTGTAATTTGAAGTTTTTCTCATGATGATGTGAACTATGGTTTATCCAGTTAATTTCTGCAGAGAACTAGTATTTGCTGTTCTTGTTTGCCTATTTCATTCATTTCTATTATTTACTATTTCCTTCCTTATACTTTGGATTTAACTACTCTTTTTCTTCTAGATCATCATTTGAAGTGTTTTAGAAAGCAGTGTTGTCTGAAATGTGATCTTCTTTTACCGAGCATAAGCTTTTGAGCTTCACCTCTGTTGCTGCAGCCATCAGCATTCTACATGGTTTCTTGTTTTATTTTTTACTTTTGTTTTGGGTACTGGGGATTTGAACCCAGGGGCACTTTACCACTGAGCTACATCTCTGTTCTTTTTATTTTGAGACCAGGGTCTTGCCAAGTAGCTGAGGGTCTCACTGAGCTGCAGAGACTGGCCTCGACCTTTTGATCCTCTTGCCTTAGGAGGATCAAAGTCCTGCTTCCCAAGTTGCTGGGATCATGGGTGTGTGCCATGCCCAGCTAGCAGTTTTACATCTTTTTAGTGATGAGTTGTATTCTATTGTAGGAACGTATATTCATTTACTCACCTATTCACAAGGAAAAAACTGTTGTGTTGCTTCCACTTTGGGATCATTATGCATAAAGTGCTACAGAATTTTGTGCACACATTTCTGCGTGTTTTATTTCTCCTAGGTAAATATCTAGCAGTAGAATCACTAACTCACGTAGTAAGAGTATAAAGATAACCATTTTGCAGGGGATGATTCTGAAGAGAAATCAACTTCTTTTCCACAAAGCTTCCCAGAGAAAAACATAGGAGAATATATTTCCAACCTTGGGACAAGCAAATATTTCTTGGACAGCACACGAAGAACACAAACCATTAATTTTTTCTGAAAAACTTCCCATCATTAAAGTTAAAATTTTCTCAATAAAAGAGCACTGAAAAATAGGCATAAGTTACAGAACAGGAGAGAACTTTCCTAGCTCACGTCTGACAGAGGACACATGCTCGGGTCACAGAGAGAACTGTCACAAAATAAGATCAAAAATGGCAAAAGACTTGGGTACTTCATAAGACAGACAAACGGCCCAGTCAGTAGATGAAAGGACATTCAACATGATCTGGCACTAGGAAACACGCGCGAAACCAAGGTAAGCCATGTCACACACACATGCTGAGAGGTGTGCAGAACAACTGAAACTTCTCACACGTGGCTGGTCAGTGTACAGTACAACCACAGTGGAAAGTTTTTTCAAAAGTTGAATATACATCTTTCTATGACTCAGAAATTCCACTCTTAGGCGGAACTGAAGAAGAAGGAAAAATACAACCAAAAAGGCTTGCATGAGAATGCCCACTCATTCAAACAAACGAAACTATGGTAAGAAAAACCAGAAAGAAATGTTGGGTGGTATGAAGGGCAGCAACTGGTTACAGAGAGACACAAGGAAACTGGGAGTCTTGGGAATGTTTTTCACCTTTACTGGGGTCATGGTGGCACTGGTATACACACTTTCAAACTTCCTTAAGCTGGACAGTTCAAATTAGCACATTTTACTGTTTGCAATTTTATACTATAGTAAAACTGATTTTAAAAGTAAAAAAAAAATTTTTTTTAAAAATCACTGTTATTTTAAAGTCTGTGTTTCCTTCAGCTGGGCCACTGAGCTGACCCAGTTTTTCAAGCTGTCCCACTAATATCCCAGAAGGCTCCATGGGAGGCCTGGGCCCATCCCCATGGTCCTGTTTGACTGACCAGGACTTTCTTTTGTTTTGTAAGCTGATGGAGAACCCCCCAACAGTCCCTTTCTTTCCTCCATCACCAAATTCTGTTTCCATTTTTTTTTTCTCTGAAGAGTGTATTTATTCCTAAGCTTGAAGAATCATTCCCAAAACAAATCCATGAAAATGGTACCAAGTGGCCAGGAGCCAGACAAAGAGTTTTGAGCTGGAAACGTAGATGCAAATCTGCAGAGACCACTGAACGCCCATCTCACATGCATTCTTGAGTTTTCAGATCCAGCTGTAGGTTCATGGCTGCAAATGAGCCAGTTTTACAACTGGCATGAAATTTTACTTAGGCATGATGTTAAAGCTTCACTGCTTAGACATATCCGTAGTATTTTTGTTGTTGTTGTTTGTTTGTTTTAAGAAGTCCATGGTTCCAAAGTTTATTTTTTTAAAGAAAAACATGATACTAGAGAAGTTTTAAAAGTTGACAGACCTCTAATAACCAAAGGCAAGAGCCCCCACAGCTCTCTTATTCAATGGCCCTACAAGATCAGGTTCTACACAGTGTCAGACAGTTCAATGCAATGACAATGTCCCCAGTGTGTACTTACTACAAATATAAATGCTGAAGTAGTAAGTATTTATAGGCACCAAAATAAGTTATTTTTTTAATCTGATAAGATACTGAATACCAAAATATAATAATTATTTTCCATTTTCAAGAGTAATTATATGAACAACAAAGATGCTACCATATACGCAATTTCAATAGTCACAACATTCATGTGATTCAGTAAAAACTTTAAGTTAAAAAGCCGGAGAGGAACATTTATCTGAAGGTTAAACTTCACAGAAACCCTATTATGTGACAGAAGCCTGGAAAAATCAACCATAAAAGCAAAAGAAACCCCTGATAGCTGCTCGGGATGACCTGGAAAGGCCAGGGAGGAACTTTCACCATGAACACCCAGGTCTAGGTTCTTGGTGAAAGGAAACAATCTTGATCACTCTAAGAACTTCTGAGAAACACCACACACTACTTAAGACACAGTTCGAGGGGCTCTTAAGGGTGACCCTGAGTCACCGAGAAACCACCTGTGTGCTCAGCACCGAGTTGAACGTGGCAGAGCCCGTGATGTCGGAGGAAGGCAGCAAGGGATGGGCAGTCTTCACCAGCTCCTCACCCAGAGGCTTGCCTCACTAAGAGGCCGCTTCTAAGAACGGGCCTGGGACTTTCCTCCTACATGCATGATGGGGTACCAGACCAAGTTCACATGCATGTCCCAGAACCCTCTGCACAGCCTCTACATAGAGAAAATGCAATTTAAACACTATTAAGCACATTTTGAAATTGGGATTTCTCTTGTTATTATAAAACATCTTCCACAGCAAATAACACACCTACACAAAGTCAGGGCCAGGCTCATTATCACCCACTTAAATTCTGTATTCTCTTCCGCTTTTGTAGCTTTGACTCATTATTCCTAGTTCCTCACTCCCTTTCCATCCCCCAAATAAAATAACACCCTATGTTTCCAAGACAAAACTCCCTTCTTATTTGTTTTTTTACGTTCTCTACCCACCTCAGCTCTAAATAACAATCTGAACTTTACATTTGCCAAATGATGCCAGAAAAATCTGTGGACTGCCTGCCCCCAAAATAGCCCTGGGTATCTAACCTCAACCAACCCCACTCCAAAAGGTCAGACCTCTTCAGCCCCCACTAACTGCCATGTTCTATCAGCAACACTTCAAGAGGACAAATATCCCTTCCCCTCTTTACCACAATCCTTGGGGTAATTCTGTCCAACGCTTCTGACTTTACAGTGAATATTTACTGACAATATTCACTTGAGGAACACCTGGCTTCCTTTGGATACTTCGTAATACTTCAGCTTCAGCTTAATCCTTAGGCAGCAAAAGTGAAAGGGGACCCAGCTGGTGAAATTCCTACTCTGGTAGGAGTTTTACAAACATCTACATGTTACTTTTCTTAGAGAAATTCTAAGAACTTAGACTTCAGGATTCTAGGACTGTCTGTGGTGAATTCCCCTTCTCCTTCCTCCTGCCACCCCACAGCAGCACAAGCTGACTGCCGCCTGCTCCAGCCCCAGCACAGCGGGCTCTGAGTCTCCTGGGGCTGCACCGCAGCTGGAAGAGCCCCCCGTCCTCCTCTCCTGCCTGGTCTGACACGGAGAGAGGTGGTGCCATGCAGGGGCAACCTGGAGAGCACACACTTACCCGGTTCTAATGAGGACAGCTGGCAAGCAGTGTTTCTGTGCACCAGGACCTGGGCCATGTGCTGTACACACGGTCTCCTCAACCCTACTGCTGTCCTATGGGATGCAGCCCATTTGATGCCTGCTCTGCAGATGAGGCTACAACATAACAAAGGCTGTGCTGCTCCAAAGAGAGGCTCATAACTGAAACCCACACATCATTTCACAGCCCACACTCCAGCATACAAAAGACTCAGTCAACATTCATTTTAGTTGTTAAGTTTATACATGGTTAATGGAGTGTAAACCAAATGCCTCAAGTTCACTTACTATGCTTTGACTACAAAGCACATGTCTTGCCTTCATATGGAATAGCAGCTAATGTCTTAACTTTAAAAAAGCTAACGGAGAAAGTTAAAGATTATAACCTTTAAACTTTTAAAAACTCGATGTTTGAAAATCATTTTATTACTGAAGTATGTAAGAATATTTATTACCTGGGATTACAGTTAGCTGAAAGCAATGAAGCTTGTTTGGATCAGGAAAATGCACTTTACAAGTACCTGCAAAAGAAACAGCACATCAGGAAAGTATGGCGTAAGCAGCAGTCTGCACGCCAAAGGCGACCTGAGCACGCAGCAAGTCCACAGTGCTGCTGATAACCCAAGATGCAAGACCCACCCTGCTGTGTGTTCCATAATTATGCCAACAGGCTCCAGCTGCAAACCAGGGGCTTTTACCATTCTTTTTCTCCTTATAGTTTTTCATGAGTTAATTCCAAATTGATATTTTCCTTCAACCTTTAAATGATCACTAAACATAGCAATCTGACTGTTACTTTCAAGAATTACACTATTTTACTTTGAAGAAACAAGGGCTGGGGTGTGGCTTGGGAGTAGAGTCTTGCTGGCATGCTCAAGGCCCTGGGTTAAACCCCAAGACAAGGAGGGGGAAAAAAGGAAAAGGAGGAGGGGAGGAAGAGGAAGAAGAAAACACCCCTGGGGAGAGTGATGTATGTAGTGAGTAAAGGCTGGTAAACACAAAAAATCTAGGAAAACTATCAGGTCAAATTTCTAATCTGCTCCCCTAGCACATAGACATACAGGCCACTGTGGTGAAGAGAAGTTGAAAATAAGTGTGCTTCCTGAGAACTGGCTCCAACTGGAGTTTACCATGACATTTTAAAAAAGAACATCTTCACAAACTAACTGGTGGCTCAGCTTGTTTTGTTGGTGAAATGATGCTCTGCGAACCTGGAGGGAACTTTCTGTGCTCAGTGGTCCCAAGCCAGAAGTGTCCTGGATCAGGACAAGGAACTTCCCCTGGGAATAGAGCCAATGCCTGCCGGTGCAGGTAAAGGGAGTTGGCTGTAGTCCACACTTGCCTCTGTCACTCACACCAACACTACTGAAGTGGTGACCATTCATGGATAAACACCCAAGGAACCACTTATCTATAAATTCTTTAGTTCACCTACTATTTCTTGCAAGTCACTGATAATACTTAGTTTTGCAATGATATCGATTTTCAACAAAAATAGGACAATTCAAATATAAAGTCAGAAATGGCCTTTGAGACCATTCTAGTCCAACATCCTTAATTAGGACAGAGCGTTTCTATGACTAGCCCAACATCACACGTTATTAACAGAAGCAAGATTAGCTCCCAAATTAATAAGTACTTCATGACTCTCTTTCCCTATTATAGGCCTCACTTCCTTTTGGTATTTAGTGAAAGTCAGAACACTGAGAGATGACACACAGAAACTATTCAGGATTGCTGATGAGCTTTCTTCTAGAGTGAAAGACAGCTCAGCTTTGAAGAGCTTAGAGCAGTCCTAGTGGAAACAGTGCCATATTCCTTACCTTAGAAAGAAAGAAACTCGAGGTCAAAAAGTTTACAACTCTCCCCCAAATAATACATTCAGATCTGTGTACAGAATATTGGAAAAGGGCTTCATTTCCCTTAATCTTGAGAGTATAAATACCATCTTTCTTTGTGAGATATATGCAAGAAAAACAAATGAGGAAGGTGTAGGAAACAGTTCCATGATGAGCCAAGGTTGGCATCCTTTAGAATTAGCTGGAATTTCCCTCCTTTCACACTAACAAAGGTACAGATGTAGAAACGAGTCCTCTGAAGAAGAAAGGCCACCAGGAATAAAGAAATTCAAAGTGGATTAAAAGATAATGAAATGATGGGGGACAGAAATTTTAAAGCTCAAGAAAGGATAAATTCTAAAAAAAAAAAAGGTTAAAAGTCAGGTTTTCTTTGAACTCAATGCAGAAACTTCATTAAACTTTTCCTCTACATGCAAACATGGGCTACCCAAAAATTCCAATATTTCAATCTATATGAAAGAGACATTTTCTACTTTTTGCAAATAGAGACATCTCTATGAACCTGCATGTACAGAGGTCCAAACTAGTTCTGAATAATTATGAAACAACACTGTCACAGGGCAAATTATTGTGTTTGCCTTTGTAAACATTTTGGAAAGATTATCAAATATAACGAAGACTTAGTACTTAAGAGTCTTCTTGGTTCCCTTCAAAACAAATGAGCTGCAGCAGGCTGTGATGGCACAGGCCTGTAATCCGGCTACCTGAGAGACTAAAGCAGGAGGTTCCCAAGTTTGAGAGCAGCCTCAGCAACACACCAAGATCCTGTCTCAAAATAAAAAATAAAAAGGGCTGGAGATGTGACTCAGTAAGAGACTGCTTACCTAGCATGTCTAATCTCCAGTACCATGCAAAAAGTCAGAGAGAAAGAGTAACAAGCTGCAGCCTTTAGAAAATACGGCTTACCTTATAAACTAATTTAAACATCCTGCCTCTGACATGATGAGGGTAGGGAGGAAGAGCAAAAAGAAGAGGCATGTAGCATGCTGTCTTTTACCAGCTATCTCAGACATTGAAATGCTTTTTTCAGTTATTTAGTTAAAATCCTAATTTAAAAAGGGGATGTGAAGTTTTGTTGTTTTGAAACTACACTCTGGTACAAACCAGCAATCTATGTAAGATTCATGTTCAAGAATAAAACAAACTGCTGGGCACAGTGGCACACGCCTATACTCTCAGCAGCTTGGGAGGGTTAGGCAGGAGGATGTCAAGTCAAAGGCCAGCCTCAGCAACTCAGCAAGGTCCTAAGCAATTTTAGCAAGGTTCAATCCCCAGTATTAAAAAAAAGAATAAAATAAATCATTTGTAAGGGGAACTTTTTTGCAGTCTTGAATGAAAAGGAAAGTGACCTACACTCGTGAAGGCAAAGGAGAGTAAAATGGACCCATCACTAAGCTTCAAAATTTTTTTTCCAGTTGTGCTTCATCTGTCCTACACCCACACAGTTATTTACTTGTTCTCCTGGAGCATTTTAAAGCACATCATTTCATCTATAAATACTTCAGTAGGTAGAAAGTTAACTTTTTAGTAGTATCCCAAGACAAAGCCTTCAGTTCTGAGTCGAACACTTGGAGGGCAAGCAATCCAGGGACTTGCAACATTGTGACTGAGACCCAAAGTAAAAATCATTTTATGTCATAACCACTCTTCTCATCTATCTATACGTTAAAAATAACTTTTAAACACTTAGTTTATGTACTTACCCTCATAAGCTAACCACTCAAGGACTGCAGCAGGTGGCAGGGAAAATGAGCCCTTTCCTAGCCATGTCAGTGGGTTTTCACATCAATACCCCAAGTTCTCTGCAGTACTCAGCCAAAACAGGAGACCAACTTACAAAATATTTCAATAGACATCCTTACTTAAACTGTTTTTAAAACAAGTGTGACAAAAAGCTGTAATTCAAAAACATAGTAAAATGGTCCAAGTTTTCAAACTTTGATGTTATTATGGAAATATAAAAGGTTTGGGAGGCCAGGTGCGGTGGGGCATGCCTATAATCCCAGCAGCTCAAAAGGCTAAGGCAGGAGGATTGCAAGTTCCTGTAGAACCTCAGCAACTTAGTGAGGCCCTAAGGACTTAAAGAAACCCTATCTCAAAATAAAAGATAAAAAGGCTTGGGTATGTAGCTCAGTGGTTAAGCACCACTGGGTTCAATATCTGGTACCATAAATAAATAAAGGCTTGGGAAGGAACTGATAGAAGAAAAAAGGAGAACCTGACACACACTACACACATGCAGGGCATGATGAGTGGGCACTCCAAGGCAGGCCTGTGTGTCTGGGGCAGGAAAGACTGATCAAGGTGAAGACACTCGTGGACTATAAGCAGTACAGAAGCCCTACCTCAAACACCAAGGCAGGTCACAGACAAATACCTTCTGGACCCAAGTAGTGGTATTGTCACTAACAAAGATAGGACTGTCAGTTATTGATTAAATTTTCACAAAGTAGACTGGACATGGGACAAAATACATGTGGAAGAGATCCAAAACCTAACTCTGGTACAGCTCTGGTACACTAAGAAATCAGTCTGCATGTGAGATGTTCACAAAGACTAGACACCTCTGTACTCTTAGTAGGTCCTCTAGAAATTCTTGTACAAAATTAAAATTCATTTCTGACATACATGAAAAACAGCTTTTTTTTGCTATGCAGGGTCATTAAACATAAAACAAGCTTTCTTCATGCAATTATTTTAGAATACTTAATTTTGACTGGTGATGCTATACTTACAAGGTAAATTAGCTTCAAGGTCTGCAACCTCTGTAGAAACAAAGAGATTATGGTTAATGTTTGTCTTCAAAATGCATCAGTTCTAAATTAGCAATTTCTTCCAGAATACAAAAGAAAAAAAAAAATACTGAAAACACTGAAACTGGGTCTAAAGTTTTATCTCAAGCTATTTAGTTTTCAGATATACAAGGTGACTTTCAGAATGCCAACAAATTTGGACAACAAGCCTTGAAAATTCACTTTAACACAAATGCAAATCATCTTAAATAAAGAGAAATTACATGGTGACTGCAGTGTTTTTGAAAACTGTTCCACCGAGTCACAGAAGCACTCCTCTTAAAATCTGATTGACACATACAATGTGTTTACATCTTTTTTTCAGACCTGCCTCCTTGTAGCTACGGTTCTTGGTCTCAATCCTCTCCTGAGGCCTTCAACACCACAGTTCCTCTTCTATCAGTACATCACCAGGTGTGTAAGCTCAGTACCCTTCTGCAGAACAAAACTGCTTACCTCCTACCAGCCTGCTATGAAAGAGCTTACAGGACAAACCTGTACAAGGCAACGTGCCCATGCTCAACACAGTACTGTGGAATCACTATCAAGGGCAATTACACAAGAAAAAGAAAGAAGAAACATCCAACTCAGAAAAGAAGTAAAATTATCCAAGTTCACACATGACATGATTCTTTTTTTTTTAGGTATCGGGGATTGAACTCAGGGGCACTCAACCATGGAGCCACATCCCCAGCCCTATTTTGTATTTTATTTAGAGACAGGGTCTCACTGAGTTGCTTAGCACCATGCTTTTGCTGAGGTTGGCTTTGAACTTGAGATCCTCCTTCCTCAGCCTCCCAAGCCAGTGGGATTACAGGCGTGTGCCACCACGCCTGGCACACATGATTCTTTATGGCACTTAAGGTCCTAAAGACTTCACAAAAAAATCTGTTAGAAATAATAAATGGATTTGGTATTGCAAGATACAAAATCAATACACAAAAACCAGTTGTTTCCATGCACTAAAAATGAACCATCTGAAAGAGAAATCAAGAAAACAATCCCATTTAAGATAACATAAAAAATAGTAAAATAAAGGAATTAAAAAAAATTCAATGGCATATTTATAGTGAATTTAACCAAGAAGTTGAAACATCTGTATAATGAAAACTACACAATATGAATGAGAGAAACTGAAGAAGCTACAAAGAAATGGAATGATACCCTGTGCTCATATATTAGAAAAATTAATATAGTTAAAATGTCCATACTAATCAAAGCAATCTATAGATTTGATGCAATCCCTATCAAAATTTCACTGGCAGGGCTGAGGTTGTGGCTCAGTGGTAGAAACCTTGCCTAGCATGGGTAAGGCACTGGGTTCAATCCTCAGCACCACATAAAAATAAATAAATAAAATAAAGGTATTAAAAAAAAAAATCAATGGCATTCCTCACAGAAATGGAAAACAATTCCAAAATTTGTCTGGAACCATAAAAACATCCAAACAGCCAAAGCTATCCTAAGAAAGAAGAACATAAGTTGAAGGCATTATATTCTAATTTCAAATTTAAAAAAGTATAGTAATCAAATAATATGATATGGCATAAAAACAGACATATAGACCAATAGAAAAAATAAAGAGTGTGAAAAATAAACCCAAGCACACAATTAATTTGCAAGGAGATCAAGACTATAGGGAGATGAAGGCCAACAAATGGTACTAGGAAGACCGGATATCCACAGGCATTAGAAGGAAAGGGGACCTTCATAACCTACAATTGCACAAAACCCAACTCAAAATGGAATAAAGCCTTCAACAGAAGACCTGAAAACATGAAACTCCAAGGGAAAATATATAAGGGCGTAAGTTCCTTGACTTGGCCTTAGCAATGAGTTTTTGTAAGTCACATCAAAAGCTCAAGCACCAAAAGCAAAAGAAGAAGAAAAAAAAAGAAAGAAAAGGAAAAAAAAGAAAAAAAAACAAACAGGCAGGATTACATTAAAGCAAAAAGCTTCTGAATGGCAAAAAAGGCAACCCACGACTAGGGGAAAACATTTGCAGATCATGTATCTGATAAGAAATTAGAAATAAGTATTGAAAATATCTTAGGAACCCATACAACATAACAGTGAAAAAAACAACCTGAGTCAAAGACGGGCAAAGGAGTCAGTTGTGGTGGTGCATCCCTATGATCCCAGCTACTCAGAAGGCTGAAGCAAGAAGATTACAAATTTTAGGCTAGCCTCAGCAATTTAGCAAGTCCGTGTCTCAAAACAAAAACCACAGAAAGGGCTGAGGATATAGCTCAGTGGAAGAATGCTCTAGGTTCAATCCTCTGTACTTAAAAAAATAGGTGGGGGCAAAGGACTTGAACAGACATTTTAGCAAAGAAGACAGAAAAACAGCAAACACATACATAAAAAAGATGCTCGATATCACTAAACACCGAAAAATGCAAATCAAAACCACAGTGAGATATCATTTCAACCCTATGTAGAATGGCTACTACCAAGAAGACAAGACGAAACAAGTGTTGGTGAGGGTGTGAAGAAAATGTGTGGGGCCAAGTACCTGGAGGAGGCCATGTGTTGCAGTACTCCATGCACCTGTCCCCACGAAAAATAGCATGGAGATTCCCCCAAAATTAAAAATGGAATTACCACATGACCCAGCAATCCTCTTCTCAATGTATATCCAAAAGAAATGAGGTCATACCTCATGGAGATCTGTGCACCCCCACATTCACTGCAGCACTGTTCACAATAGCCAAGATACAGAAGCTGCCTGAACTGATGAATAAATTACGATATACATACATACATACCATACACATATATCACACATTTATACACACACACACACACACACACGAACATTATTCAGCCTTAATAAAGAAGAACCTGTCATTGGAGACAATATGGATAAACTTAAAGGACATTATGCCAAGTGAAATAAGTCTGACATAGAAATATACTACAGATAACACTAATATGTGGAATCTAAAATAGCCGAAGAGTACAGAGAAACAAAGCAGAATAATGGTGACCGGGACTAGGAGCAAGGAAAGGGCAGTAGGAAATGGGGAGATATTCATCAACAGGTACAAAGTTGCAGTTAGAATGAATAATGTGAGATCTAATGTGACCATGTGAGGAGATGGATATGTTAATTTGCTTGACTAGTCATCATTTCAATTATGGGTGTGTGTGTGTGCGTGTGCGTATATATATATATATATATATATATATATATATACACACACACACGTACAAGCACACACACACACATCAAGGAATCATGCTTTGTAACTTAATAAATGAATTAATTACAAATCAAAAAAACTAGTCTGGTAGCTGATTGCATACCCTGCAATAAATGGGCCAAAAAGTAATCTATGCCTCAAGCAAAAAGTAAAATGGTCCTTGGCCAGGGAGATTCCTTCTAGTGTGTGTGTACGGGGTACTGATGGAGGTTTTTGAGCTGGGATTCAAAGAATAAGTAGACTTTAATCCTACAGAGGCAGGAAAAATGGATATTCCCAGCATACAAATCAGCAACGTACAAAAGCCGATAGACCTGCAGCCAGAGCAAAGGTTCACATACAGCAGCAGAGTGACGGGAAGCAAGGTAGAAGAGGGCCAAGATCATGAAGGCAGCCCAAGAAGATTTCTCAACCAGAGTTTCTAAGCTTTGCCTCCAGAGGACAATTATACAAGAGCAAAGCTGAGGCCAGATGTCTTGTGTGCTGGGCAGCAGATACCCAGCCAAGATGGGAGGCCAGGGGCCAGAGAGCACACTGAACTACAGGTATGGCAACAGAAGGTGGGGTGACGGGTCAGAGATGGTACCACGGCTTGACACAACCAGGGAAGCCCAGGATGAGAAACTTGAAAAGTCTCCAGCACAATCAGAGCCAGGGCAAGAAGCCGTGTCATAAAGAGAATGGGTAAGGTCAACAAAGAGGGGTAGGGGGAGAACTTCACCAGAAAGCAGACAGAGAGCAGGAAAAGTCATAGGTGAGAAAAAGGCCAAAAGGCAGAAGACTCAAGAATGCAATGCTTCAGGGAAAGAGGACATGTGGCCCCAGGAAAGGCCACTGGAGACATCGCAAAGAGCTGGAATACAAGGGAGATGGAAAATGGAGGGCAAGACAGGAAGAAATAAATATATGGTCAAAATGCAGGGCAAAGGGCTGGGGCTGGGGCTCAGCAGTAGCATACTTGCCTGGCACATGTGAGGTGCTGGGTTCATTTTTCAGCACCACTTATAAATAAATAAAAGTCCATCAACAACTAAAAAAAATATTTAAAAAAAAGAAAGTGCAGTGCAGCAGCAAGACTATTCCTCCAAGAAGGCAAGTGGGGAAGGGTTGCTGAGGCGAGTGGAAAGCAAGAGGCACACTGAGGATCTGGGTGTGGGAGGCCCTGGGCCTGTGGCAGCAGCTGTGCACGAACAACAGAGCCTGTGGATGGAGGCAAGTGACCATTCACGTACCTGCTCCAGGGCCCAGGAACCTGGGTGAGGCACCCAGAAAAATAGAGGGGGCAGAGGAGGAGCTAGGGTGAGGGAGAGTCCCACACTCCCCACGGTTGTCACAGCCAATGCTTTGCCAGGGAGACCTTCTTGTCTGAGAAAAAGAGCAAAGATCTTAGCAAGGCAGGTTGTGGGGCAAAGAAACCTACCAACTGACCACCCTCTGGCTGGGGCTGGGAAGGCAACCAATTCTGTCTAAGCCCGCCCTCTTGGCAGTTATGGAACATCCAAAGTATTCACTTAAAACAGCATGATGGTAAGCTAAGAAAGATTCACTGCTGAGATGTTTATAGTGACCCAACTGACCTTGAGACCTTGACCTTCAGTTGTCTTTCTGACCAGCTATTCTTGCCCTTCCTGGGGACAAGTAAGGCAGGCAGAGGGCTGAGGAAGACAGCAAAAGGATCATCCACACTAATCATTTTTAATTGTTTATCCATAAACTATGTTTCAAAGCAAATACTACAGTATTATTTATATTTTTGTTAAGAATTAA